TGAGAGATGAGAGAATGTGTGCTTAAAATGTGTGAGAGATAGGAGAGAGTATAAGATAGAGAGATGAGAGATATGAGTCTTGGAAAAATTTCGTATAAGAACCGTCGAATTAATAATCGTCAAACGATCTGAATCTCAAAAAATTCAAAACAAATTTTTTTACCTACTTTATTATATAGATATATCCACCAAAAACTAGCAGTGGTTTAACACCCAATTGAACCCACGTGACATTTCACAAACCTAGTTAAGGAAATCAGAACAAGGAGAAGTTGTTGCTTCAATATGGAATCTACACTTAATATATGTTGTCATATTTCCGAGAAAAGTGCTGCCTCGAATTCGTTGTTTGATGAGTCAGCTATTAACCTTTTGAGTTTTGAGGTTCTGATCATGTGATTTTTTGTTGATTTAAAAGTTTTTCGAATCCCCTAGAGTACCTGACTGATCATCCCAGCACATGCAACGTTTCGTTTATCATGAGAAGTCTCCGAGGAAAATCGAACAGAAAATCTCCAACTTTAGTTTGTAAAGTACATTTCTGGCCAATTTGTACATCATTTAGGGTTTCATTCTCTAATGACCCATACCCTCACATTGTAGTTTTATTGGACTAACTTGAACACTCCTATATAAATGCATCAGCAATAGTCCGTACCTGAAGGTACTGTAGATTAAGAGTTACGGGGTCATTGAAATAGTTCTCATAGTCCATACTCTGATTTTTCCCCTCATCTTCTTGAAGAAGAGGATCTCCAGCGTGGGAGGAGGGAGTTGGAGGAGGGGCCACCCCATAGCGTTGAGGAGGGGCTCCCCTCAAGGGAGCACCCAAGGAGGCTTGGCAGACAACTTGGAGGTGGGCGCCCAGCTGGGGACCTCCTTGGCGCCCTGGGCGAGGTGCTCCCTAGCTTGGTACTCTCCTGGTCGCGCACCTCCTTGCCCAGCGAGCATCAACTAGAGGATTTGCAGCTGCATTGCCTCTAGTAACATTGGTTGCGAGTTAGGAACAAGATTGGCTAGGGGAGGTACGACCTCCTCTTCACGTGGTGAATCGTCCTCAGAATGATTTACGGGTCTGGTGGTGATTGCCATAGATAAGAAAAAAGGTGGTTGGGTGAAAACTTTGTCATTCTCATGGACGGCGCCAAATACATGGGTGGATTTTGGTTGGTTTGTTGGGGTGTGTGCAAAGGGAGATTTTGAATTTGGGGGAAAAAAATTTGTGAGACTAAATTTGGATCATTGGATTGAATGAGATGTAAATTAGATCAATTTCAGTCATTCTCGTGATAGGTTATAAGTTAAGAATTCAAAATAGGTTGTGTTTTATTATATAGATATTGCTTAAAAAAAAAAATCCTTACAATGGTTGTAAAGATAAAATGCAAAGAGTACACCTAAATGAATCCTATAGTTTTAAGTCCATTAAATTGCAAAAAATATGTATATATCATAGAATTGAAAGAAAGACCCAATGAAATAGATGTAAAAAACAAAAAATATGCAATAACCTTGTAGTTACACAAAGCATTGGCACCATCTCAAACACCTGAATTTATGACCTCAACTCCTTCAGTTCCCATCTTTTTCAATATAATTCAAGGTGATATCACCCATTAGGTATAGGTAAGAGATTTATTTATATAGTGGATTGTATTTGAATTTATCATTTGGGAAATGAAAGCTGAACTTCCTTTTGGTTCTCCCAAAAAAGATCTTGTATATTTGATCCCATTTTCAAGGAACCCAAAAAAATTATAAAATTGAAAAAAGAAATATTTTCTTGCTCAAGAGTTGTCAATCATAGGTTCAACTATATCATTACTCCTTTTAGTCGTGGCTATTGGCTATTCCTCGAACAACTCGATGAATAGGGAACCAAGTAGTTGACCATTTACCGCACCTCAGATTCGAAACCAAAAACATCTGGTAATGATCGACAACAAAGTGCCTTCTTTTTTTTTTTCCAACCTATCGAAAACTTGAACGGAATTGAAGTTTCTTGGCAGCTCCTTCTCTCTCAACCTCAAAAGATTTTGATTGACACGTAGACATAGACAATTGGGGCTTTTAGCACCCTTTTCCTTCTAGCATTCTCAAGATAAACAAAAATTTGGGTTATCAAAAGTGTTATATTTATTAATAGCATAATAAAAAAAACACTCTCAAAAATAGATCCAATCACGTTATTTTGATCGACACAAGTATATGAATATGATAAATGATCTACACTTGATTGAAACTAAGTAAAAGCATATTTTAGAGGATCTCACACCCAAATTTAGATGCATCAACCGAATGAAAAATCTAGAGTGGCCAGCTGAAGTTCATTGATCCCTCTGTTGTCTCTCAAACATGTTTTTTCTCTTCTAGATTGTACTTGCCTGAAGATGGTGGAGTACTGGTTGTGGAGGAGCTTTTGCTTCCATGTCCTTTGCTGATCTTTTTATCTTCTCCTCCTCCTGCTGCCATGATAGTTAGTGTCTCCACCAATTCAGTATACAGCTTAGCCTTGAGCGGTCGCCTTTTCCGGGTATGGCCTGCAGGTTTTGCTTTCTTCACTGGCATGGAAGCTTCATTATGTTCCATTGTAAGGTTGAATAAAGAAACATATATGTGTCTATATATACTTAAGAAGAATGAAAGGTGAGAATCCAGGAAGTGGAGGTATATATAGGTCATTTGGGGTGGGGGGTAGCTTAGAGGGGTAGTGAAGTATTGATGCAGTTGCATTATTTCATGTAGTGTGAACGCTAGGGAATATTAATTTGGGGGGAGGTTTGATTGTCATCAAACAAAAACAGCTCATCCTGCTGGAAATGTAGACTCTCTTGGATCTGATGTGTGGGTTAGCACTGGTGAAGCCAGTAATAGATGTGCCCACCCTCTAATTTTTCCACTTAAAACATTTTCAAACTATAAATTTCATAAATTTTATAGGTATTATTAATTATGTCCACCCTAATTATTCCGATTATTACATTCATGCGTAAAATGACTACTAATTTTTGTACATGTTCGAATAAATCTTAGACATATTCAAGTCATCTTATAATATTTTTGAAAAGAAAATTATGAGATTATTTTGGTACTGTATAAATGTTAGGGTCATTATATAATGGCCAAGTCCATAGAGACATTCATTTTAGATGACATTGGTAATAAAGTTATAATGCAAAAATTTTAAATTTTGAAAAATAATCGGATCAATTGCAAATGGACACAATTAATCTAAATTTTTTTGTAAAGAGTTATAGTTAGTCTTTTCCTTTATTTTTTGCTTACACATTCTATGTATACAGATCTTTAATTTTTGGTGTTTAATGAATTTTACAGTATTAAATAGGATATAAATATGTATTCTATGGATTTGGAGAAGAAGTTAGGGTGAGGTTTTTGGCCAAAACCATGGTTATGTATTTTTATGCATAAGTTGTTAAGTCTATAATCAAAATCTCATCTTGTATAAATTGTGTATTGTGTTTGGGTTATTCATTTATCGAAAAATCTAATCATGACTTGATTTCGTTAAGATCGGGCTTATGCCCACTAATTTATGTTGATCTCGTGTTACAGTGACAAATGGCAATAAGAATTGTCAATCCTAATGGTATTGGTTCGCTTCATTTGAACAACTAAAAATCACCGAATGAGATGATAAATTACATTATGTTATTATGTTTCATTTTACTAATTGACTTTGGCATAGTTGGTTGTCTAATTAGAGGACTCAATGGGACACATGCAGGCATATTTTTATTGCATTGTACATTTTCTTCTTCTTCTCTCTCTCTCTCTCACACACACACACAATTCTCTTGTAACAGTATCGGATGGGAGAGAAAATTAGTCGCGTAAATTAGTTTAAACATCTCTAACCGTTGAAAAAAAAAAAAAAATACTTTCTTGCCCAAGTGATACACTATGGATTTGAGTCAAGAAGTTACCATCTCCAAATGGAAACAGGATTGTTTACTATATATTGCTCTCTTAGTAGGAATCTTGTGCATCGGGTACTATCTATGTATATTCTTTGTTATTTTCAATTTCCTTTCACTATCTATTACATTAAATCAACATTTCTCAAACCAAAACTGTTTTCGCACTAAAAGTGTGAAAGAAAGTGGGATGTGTTCCGTAATCGAATCAGGATATTTGGTTTTAGACCCATCTCTACTCAAAACCCTATTACCCCATCTTATCAGTCCTTCCCAAACAACCTTTGTTGCTGGAAGAAGAATAAGAGATAGCATATCGCTGTTCCAAGAATGAATGAGAAACTATCCATGGACACAAAGACCCTGTCAATATATGGAGAAGATGATCATCAATATTGTGAAAATCGGACTGGAAGATACGACAGTTCGTTGGAGCTAAACCTATTCTTCGGTGCTCAAAGTACACGATGAGACATTAGTTTCGGTTCCGACATATGTGCGGTAGCTGTGTAATACTAAAAAGTAATATTTCATGATGTATATGTGGAGTGGTCTATGTGGATATTTATTTTATACTAGTTGATGCCCACGTGCGTTGCACCTGGACATTTTTAAGGATGAAATATTGTACACTAAGGTTGTGAACTAATTTTTTAAAACTAAACAAACTATGTGGAAAATGAAATATTGGGACAAACTATAGGGATTGTATATTAAATCTCTGTAGCACTTTCTTAGAAATCCACATCTTTGATAAATATTGAGATTAAGCTTGTTAATAATCACATTTTATAGGAAAATTCCCAAATTGGATAAACCAATATAGTCTTGTCCTTGCAATGACAAATGATTAAGAGAAAATAGTTGTGTTGACTTTTATCACTTTTGTTGATGTTCACTACTGGTTTGATTTCAACCATGAATCCAATGATGTCTGCATACAAATTAGGATTTTGAGAACAGTATCATGCTGAAAATTGTAATATGCATGTTGTTTGTTATGTTGTTCGAGAATACATACCAAATGCTATGGCCTCATCTCTATGTGTGATGAGTACATCTTTAGAACTTATGATAGGGTAGTATTTCGGTTTCGGCTTCTTGCACATTGGTATTGATTGTGAGTGACAATTCAATATCCTTGTGTACATTGCTGAATTTTTTATTTGTTGAGTTCACTACTCCATTAGAAATGAGATACGTCTTATCTTCATTAAACAAGTCTCCAAACTTGGCAATTGCATCGGTAAACATTAGAGCTTGAATTCTTGCTCCCTGCATTTGATTTCAGGAAAAAAAAAATAAAGATTTATGATCATATAACATTTAAATGTTAAACTTATAAGTAATACATTAGCATTTGATAATATGTCTAACCTCATCATCAATTAGAATAACCTTCCAAAGTTCTCCGGAGCACATATTGTTATTGAAAGTAACTATTGTTCCTCTCCGAAGAACCTTAACCATTAGGAGCCAATTGGTGTCATATTTTCGTAGATGATCGATGGTTGAAAATTGAGTTGTTGGGACTTCATCATCAGACACCTTCACTTCGAATTTCTTGCCTACCAAATCACCAATTACAATATATCCATATTAGTGACTAATTAGAGTTGAATTGTCGAGGATTTATGAGCATTCAATGTCAAGAAATGAGAGTACAATAGAAGAAATCAAAATGTTATCGCTTGCAAACATTTAGAGGTAGTATCTTATATTATATTTTATTTGTGTCGTGTCCTGACTTGGGGAGTCTAAGTTACATATGATATTATTAGTCGTAAAATTCCTATCTTACTTTTTTATTTAACACCCTTGAGATGCATAATTACATAAGACGATAAGAGTATTTTTTTTTTTTTTTTTTTGGAAATACCTGGGGTGTGGGAGGACCTCTTTGTACACAATATTTTTGGTGTAGACTCCTCTTCTTTTTTTGTCCTGTTATATGGTTTGACCAAAAAATTTGTTGTTGACATCGAAATTCCACGCAATAAGGCAAACATAGAGTTGACCATGGGATAACACATGTTGAGGAAGATAAACTCCCACATGTGGTATTGTTTGTCCTTTTTGCTTTGTTTATAATCATTGCAAAACACAGGAATATAAGAAATTGCTTTCTCTTGAACTCAAATGGATAATCTTCTGTTTCCGCAGGTGAAAGAGGGATGCTTGGTAGGAAAACTTATTTTCCAGCATGTTGGCTATTTTTCATTTCAACGTGAATAGCATTGTGAACAAATTTTTTGCATACCATTCTTGTTCCATTGCATAAACCATTTGATGGATTCAAATTCCTCAGAAGCATAATCGGGATACACTGTGTTTTTTTATTATTTCTTTCCAATATTTGTCGATGAAAAACACAATGTTTTGATATAGAATCCTTTACTTTTTATAATTAGTTGCTTCTGTCCTATAAAATAAAACATGCCAAAGTTCTATATCAACAAAACAAAAGTGGTATCAATGCATTAGAGGCTCATAGAGAAGGATTACTCATCATAATAATCTGGCCACTTTTTACAAACTTGCAACGAAGTCAGATAAAATGTATTAGGCTTATATTTCTATGCTACAGTCACAACAACAAGCGGAGGTGGTGCTGCCTAAGTAGACTTTAGATCTTAAATGCTATACTTCCTTTTTGTTCCTAAGCACTAACTGCCTATTTTTTCTTCCCTTCTTTTCTCAAAAATCAGCTCATCCAATCTTCCAGGCTCTGATTACACTAATATAATCTGGGCATATATATATATACAAGTCAAATTCAAACCTAACCCAAAAGTTTAAGCCTAAGCTCAGAGTGCTCAATTCCAACCTTTATATATAATTATAAACCTTCTTCTTTTTAAATCCAGCCTACAAAACAGCAAATTGGACATGGATCTTGAGAGCACATACTTCACCATTTCATTTGAAACCCAAAATTAGCATAATCACCTTCCTTTGGTGAAAATTCAATACCAGTACAGTTGATTATACAAGCGTAAAATAGGTGTAAAAAAATGAAAAAGATGAGTGTACAACATCAGGATACAAAAGCATCTTATATAAATTGGACTATTTATCATAAACTTAGTGAAAATGAACAAAATTCTTTCTGAGAGATCATACAATGGAAAATTGTAGGCCAAATATTGATGTACTGGAATTATCCTACTAAAAATGTGCTACAACCATTTTTAAAAGTTCTATCAAACATTGATGATGTAGATGAGTTATACACGTGCCCATGATTCTTTTATACATAAATCTATACTACTAAATCTCGCTGGGTAGCAACAACTACAAGCAAAAAATTGATGTCAATCTTATGAGTATACCATGTATCACCATACTTTGATTTTGACAGAGAACCATCTCACTGAAGAGCATAAGAAAAAAAAAAAAAAAAACTTTGTGCATATACATGCATACCTAACACATGCTCGAGAAAATATTTATTTATTCATCAATTCCATTCGCCTAATGACAAAATCTGTTTTGAAGTGAATCTCAAGTAGATTCACCACATAGGCATATACATCGATACAAAGTAAGTTCGAGTTAAATGAGTTCAAAGATCTTGGCACACCAAAATTACAAAGAGAACCAATGAAAAAGATCGTGCAAGAAAGATTACAAAGAGAAAAGTGAACAGTGAAAATAAGATTACAAAATAAGATCCGCCAATTGCAAACAACTTTCCAATGATGTGAAATAATGAAAAAGGAATATCTCGAAACTCTCTAATGATCAACGCAACCCATAGAGATTCCAAGAACTTAACCCTATCCCATAACAACTCTGCATACTCAACTTTCCCTTCAAAATTTCTGCTATTCCTCAGCATCCATACAACCCATTCTGCTATCATCCATTCTTGTTTGGTTGTTAACAAATTGGACCTTTTTATTCCATTTGTGAACATGGTTTCTATGTTATCAAGGGATACATAGTGAAATATCGAACTTTTTGATCATTGGATCGTAATAGATGTCAAACTTCTTTTCTTTCCTACTCTAGTCACTCAATCTCAATTGTGTTGGAATGCTCTGTTTTCTTGTAACCATTTAACTGTCTGTTTTACATGTTCCATATCAACATATTTCTTTATTGATACATGTTTTTTAGGCTCTGTTTATGCCATGCGATCACAAAAACACGATTCCAGATGGATTACACTATCCAAAAATGAGGTTGATGCTGGAAAAGTTGAACCATCTTCACTTAGAAGACCGTTGCTTGATCGGATCAGGGGGAGGCTCTGTTATCAGAATGATTATATTGTAAAGCATTGGTTGAGCTTTGGTGTATGTAATTAATTATATTGACATTGGTGAGGATGTCAGACATGGTGACCTCATGAAAATAGGCCTTGTGATGCTATTTCGGTGTCTCAAAGTGGCCTGTGGTACGCATGATTCTCAGGAAGAATATGGGGAAAAAGGTCTTGAGTGTATTTTCTGCATAGCTTATTACAAATTATTCAGTCGAGCAGCACAAATCCACTTTGCTAATCCTATGTTGTCCAATTCAAGAACAGAATGAAAAACAAGGAGGCAAAACACCCACAAACCAAATACCATAAAACTTACGTAAAACAATAAAAGATCAGAGAAGGAGAAAGACCAACCTGAGTGATCTCCATAACCGGGGTCACCGAAGCTCCAAGCCAAGCCAATACATGAACAACAAAAAGCTCAAGAATGGCAACTTACAATTTCTTGTTTTTCACATTCTGTGAAGACTCTCAATCAGTTTTTCTTGTATCTGACACCTAACACTAATCTGTTGAGAGCACTAATCATAATTTAGTCTTCTCTTCAATATTTCATCGACTAAGAATGTTTTTGCATGATATGAATGACATAATTTAGGAACATACAGAAGATTTACTTAACGATGAAAGAGAAAAGGAAGAAGAATTCAAATGGATTTCTTATTATAAACATACTAAAATGCCATCAGAAAATATTCAGGCAAGTGACACAACACACTAGAAAATATGTATACACACTTTTCTGACCTTGAATCCCAAAGTACTTCTAGCCATAGCTCCATGTTGTTACCTGTTAAAGACTCTCTCTCTCTCTCTCTCTCTCTCTCTATACCTTGAACTCCTTCAACTGTCCTAACTCTCTTCGAACATGACTCTTTCCATCAGAACCATTTCCGCTTCCCCGCAGATTTGAAGAATCTGAGCTTTGGCCATGGCTATCTTGGTTCTTTTTTCCAAACCCTCCTGTTGTCATGTTCATCACTGACTCTACCAATTCCTCAAATACCTTGGCTGTCAGCTGACCTCTCCTTGGTGGAAGCATAGCTTTCTCTCTCCTCACTGGCTTGCTGACTTTACTGTCCATTAATGCTTTGGATTGTGAAAGGAAAATCAAGGGTACAGTAAGGGATGAAAAAAGAACAGATAAAATCAGTAAAGAAGAAGAGAAGCAAAGCTGGTGAGGGTGGGAGAGACAAAGTGGGGCCTTTTTATATAAATGGGTGTGCGCATACTGCCGTGCAAGCCAGCTTAGTCACCAAGTTTCACAAGTGTGAACACAATAAGATACTCTTTCTGAATACAATTTGGCTTGTTCTTTGAACTTTTTCTTCGGCGAAATTGTGGTTAGTCTTAATTGGATGTGTATGGTTTTGGATATCATTTCATTACACGTGGGTTTTCAAACCTTTTCTTTTTGTTTTTCCCCTCTTCTGTCTTCTGTGTAAGGTGAAGGGTCCATAATCATATGGTTCGACATGGTAAGGGTTGGGGTTGGGGTGGGGGTGAAGAACTTCAGAAAATTTCTGCCACTTACCAGGTGAGTTGAGTCATGTATGAGTACTGTGAAAGATGAAAGAAGCAAAATTTTGCAAGAAATCATGCGCCCTTTGATAACTTTTTTCAAAGGAGTTATGATGTAAAACAAGTTGCAGGAGAGTATTTAGTATATGGTTTCTTCCGATTAAAATGAAAGGGTAAAAAATAATAATAGAGGTGTTAGACTCAAAATTCAGTAAATTAGTGGTGTCAACAATCAAAACTCATTGTTTTATTACAAGCTCCTTTAGTTTTAAGTCAAATTTTATCGTTTAGACATATAAACTCCCATTTTTGCCATTTTAGAAAAAATTTCAAAAATTAATAATAAATTATAAGAAATTATGAATTCAGGGTCATCAATTTTTTTAGACTCCAGGCAACACATGCTTTTATGTTAATTTAGAAAATCGCATATTTTCATTTTTGGTATTTTTCATAATTTTAGAGATTTTGCTTTCCACTATAGGAACGATTAGGATTTTAGTCGTTTCTATTTATAATGCTCATTTGTACTACGAGTGAATTATTGTAATATTATATTTCATAATTTTTCTCTACTTTTTTTGTAGATTTAGAGTATTTTTTTTAGTTCAATATATAAAGAATTGTAATGTCTTTTGTGTTCCTTTGTTCAACTACGTCAATTTGTTTAAGCAAAAAAGTAATTTGTTAAGAAAACAAGAGACTTTCTAATTATTGATTTATAGTATATAGTGACATACATCTTAGTATATGAATAATACACTTATCTATGTGCACATGTATACTATTCTATCCAATATTAAGCTTGGAATAAGGAGGAAACTCCAACACGAAAAGGCAAAACACAAAACAATGTTACTTGAGAAAATACTACTTAACTCCAACAAGAAAAGGCAAAACACAACAATGTTACTTGAGAAAATACTACTTGAATAAATGATCTTAAGGGTAGCAAAAAAGGATAGTTAGACATCCTTTAATTCAACATGGCCACTTACTATGGATTGGTCAAGCAATGCAATGAGTTAATTAATATCTGTTGATTAAACAACTATTTAGTCTAATATATGAAAATTCATGAATATTCAATACATTGACACTTGACATTCTCAGGCTTGCCAAGAAGGTGCCATGTGGCAAAAACCTAAGCAAGACGAGAAGATGACTAATTACAACCATATTCAAACCAAGGTAGGTTACATGTTGGGGGTTACTACCGAGTAACTATTGATGGAAGAACAGCCGTCGAAAAAAATGTCTCTACAAAGAGAAATGTAAGGAAAAAGATGACACATTTTCAAACCCCCTACGACCCACAAATTTGGGCATCATTAGGAGTAGTGTTGGCGTAAATTATACACTTTTAGATTGTAGTTAAAGTTGTTCATTCAATCTTTTTTATAATCGAAGTCCCTTTTTTGAATTAAGAAATGAATTCTCTTCCATTAGTTCTTTGTTTTTTACTTCATCTCTATTTAGAATTACTCTATTCTTTTTATCCATGAAGTCCTGAAACAAGACCATAAACCCCTTCCAAACAATTGTCTGATAATTGTCTATCGCTGGGAGATCTCTGTCAATCCAAGCAAATTTGAACCAACATGAACTAAAAGCTTATTTTATGACTTACAATTGTATATATTTGTTTGATAATATCTGTGGGACATCCAGAATGGCATATCACTATATTTAATGCAACTAAAATGTGAAAAATCATATTCACAGTTTTTGAAACTTTATGATAACATCAAACCCTTTAGGGGAATGCCAGCTTCTACTTTGGAAGCTGTGATAAAGTCTAAATTGTTACAATCTGCAGGCTAAGCAAATTTAAATAAATAAAGGAACATGTGCATGGTACACAAATGGGAACTGCAGAAAGTCCAACCAAAGACTGGAAAAACTCTGAAACATAAGACAAAGAGAGAGATTAAGAACCTAAACTCTTCAGAAGAGTAACATATAGTCTCACATCCCTCCAATTATGATTGCTGGTTTCACATTACCTCAATTTTAGACAATGCAAACATGTATTTTACCATAAAAGTGGAAATTTTCTATCAAAGTAATGACAAACCTTTAAATTTTGTGACAATGTAAAGATAATTCAAGAAATTGCTGGAACAGTGTGAGAAATCCATAATTAAAGGGCCAAAGTGAGACTAGATCATAGTTGAGAGTGCCAAAGTGAAATTTAGCCTACTTTTTATTATAGTATTAATATTTTCTAGGAAGTATAGGGAAGATGTCATTTTGGTGGCATTGAGATCCACTGGTGAGTAAAAGAGGATTGGCCTAATGATCGGTGTCTTTCCCTCCTTATCTACGGGTGCGCAACTATCCAAAAATATGACAACGTCTTCGATTCCGATCCTAACTCCGGTCTTTAACCATCAAAGATTTAAATTTTATCAACTCCCTCCCCTATATTTATTGTGACAAAAAAAAAAAAAAAAATCCTAGAGGGAGAGAGAGGAAAGGGAGATGTATTCCATCTACCTACCTAGGACAAGCTAGCACTAGAAAAACCCAGGCTAACATCTATGACTTGATCAACGCTTGAGTTATGCAGAAAATAAAAATAATACCATGGACTAATTATGTTAGTTATGTCACACATGAAACCTTATATTATAAAACTTACATCTGTATTTAAAAATTTTCGGCATATGAACGCCATTGTCGAATGATTTATTCAACAGTTTTGAGGCAGAATTCCAGATGAGTTTAGTCAAAATCAGTTTCTGCCCTCCATACAAAATCATATAATTGGTAATTTTCTGTACAGTGGAATTTTTTTCATCTTATATCTCTGGATTAATGCCGATGGAGGAGAATGTGAAATGTCTATCAACACACTTTTTAAACCATACTTGGGTGAGCAAAACCCTATGCAGAAAAGGTGTCTAGGCTTGCGCAGACTATTCCCTTGAATTTAGCGATGGCTACCGTAGCATGAGTTAGAATAGAGCATGTTCCGAAGAACAAGTGTGGCTAGCTCTTAGGGGGTGTGGAAAAGAATTCAACCTAAAACCTCTGAATTACTAAATGTCAGGCTCAACCACTGAACCACCTCGAAGGGTTGAAGAACAATCGAATTCAGCGATTGTTGGATGATTCTGATCAATTTGGCAAATCATCTTAGATAATAGCCATTGGTTGCATTAAAGATTGAAACATGCTATATCTTAATCTGAAGAAAAGACTGACAAATGAGCAGGCAGCCTCTCTTACAGTCACTTTAGTAGATAGCTACTCTGTCTCTCTCTCTCCAGATTGGTACCATCTGCACACAAAATCCAGCAGCATTAGTCCCCTGTGAAGAATGGACAAGGAAAATTACATTTTTTTTTTGAAACAAACTAATCCCAAGCAGATAGCAAAGGAAAAGCTGAACTTGTTCACAATCTGCTGAGGATACCAATACCAGAAATCATGAGAAAATTAGTTCCTGTATAAAGATCTCTCTCTCTCTCTCCCCTTCATCTTGCAACTACTATGCAGTATATAACACCCAAACTTAGTATTAAAATGATGCAAGATAGATTTGTCCATCTCAAGCGCGAAAAATAAGAACCAAACAGCAAATATCTTTATAGCTTACTACATTATTACAATAATGATGGGACATTTTCAAAATATTCCGAGATGAAGACACGTGTCCTCGGTGTCATTAATCCTTGTTACCGAGATCACGTACCCATCGGGTCACAAGTCCCCTCTCCCCCGAGGTACTGATCATGGGGATCGAGTGGCATCCAGTACGTTTTTATGTACCGACACGTACCCTCGGTCTGATATGGTACATCGGTCGCTAGGCCTCCCCCTCTCGGATTCAAGATGTACCTATTCCTCGGCTCCGAGATATACCTATTCCTGGACTCTGAGATGTACCTCTTCCTCGGCTCTGAGATATACCTCTTCCTTGGTACCGAGATGTACCCCCCTCATCCAGGATGAAGTTCTCTGCTCCAGCAGAGGCTATTGATGCACTGGTCACTAGCTTAGGCTAGGCTAGGTTAACTATCATGACCTCGTCTTACACAATTGGTGTCAGAAGGCACAGGAAGGCAGGGGGCACAGCCAATGAGGAATGGACGCGTGGCATATTGTGTCACATCAGAGACAGAAAGACTGCATGACCTTGCTGACACGCGACTTGGGAAAACAAGCATTTAATTACACTATTCCCTTGATGAGACTGCATTCAATGCGGTAAGGCTCGGAAGTGAAAGGCAATAAATGTCTCTAAGGCTGGGCATTTATTGCATCCTCCCCGAGAGGAGCTCATTGAACCGTCGGCAGGCCGATGACACAGTCTTGATTGCTCGGGGTCCCGAGCAGTTAAAAGAGAAGGCATTCCTCATAGGAATCAGTGCGCACGTTTCCTGTATCTAATGATCGCCTACTGACCACACTGACAACAATCATGAGTATTTAAGGTATAAATACTCCTCACTAAAGGCAAGGAAAAGAGGGAAAAACTTTTGCTACAAATTGTACTCAATGTTTTCTTCTTCCTTTCTCTCAAAAACTGACTTGATCGTCGGAAGGGATACGCCG